AAGAAAGGGCTGTAGGCTAACTCAACTGACGAACTCACCGCTGTGTTGTCCTCCACCCCACCACACCCTATCATGGTGCGTTCCGTCTGCATATGCGCTCATCACACATTCGCTCCATCCATCACAGCACTGTGACCTCTCCATCCTCGCATCGAAGAAGCGAGAGGCATGGTAGGCCTAGATAATCTTGACTAGGCTGGCCTATAATAACACGATGCGTTCTGCTTGTTTGCGCATGCCACACCCTCCCCACTCATTCGCTCCGGCCTTCATTGATAATTTGTTGGGCTACGTGGGCTTTCCCAATCCCATTCTTTGTTTCGCTAGATCACCAAGTTTATCAACTGGTGAGAGTTTACAATACATCATGTTATTTCTGTCCCCGTCGTTTTATGTTTATGCAAGAAAAAATCCGAAATTATGCAAACTGAGCCCAAAAATAAAAAATGTGAAATTGAAATTATGCGATTCTGTTAATTTTAACAAAGAATGATAAAGGAAAATAGTAAGAAATTATGCAAAAAATGATCAAATTTTGCTAAATTATGCGGGGTGCATAACCGCCTGAACAGGTAGGCTATTTCAAAATTTTATGTTATATGTATATACATATTTCACATTGTCATGCGCTGTGCACTGCCACAGATATATTCCGCTTAGTAATACATGTAGTATATATATGTAATTCACCACCTGCTGCATGTCACAAATGTTGCGTTTATACAAGAATTTTCATGTTTCAGATCTAGATCTATGTGATGTACAGAAGAATGAAAACAGAACATTAGGCATTATTCATTTTGGAGTAGTCTTTTGGTGTTGTATGTATTTGGGGAATATACACATTAGTCAGAACTAATGGACCTCTGGTGCTGGCACATCACTAAAACACAGGATGCACATCTGGCCTGGCAAACATGAAACATCAGCGGGAGAACAACTCTTGACCATTGATGGATTGAAAAATTGAACCTGCTCAAGAAACAAAAATCCCTTATTATGTAAGTTACAAGGGAAATAACCAACTTGCAACGGGAGATTTATTACTGTCATTACTTCCCTTTGGTCACATGGCGAGGCGTTTTGTGAATTTTTTTTTAAAATAAAAAAAGTGAATACACGCGGGGAATCCAAAATTATGCAAATGCTGCAGAATTATGCGAAAAAACGCGGCTGCACATTCGCATAATCCTACAGGAACAAGTTATCAGACCTGGAAAGGACGAACGAACTAAATCGCGACCGGCAAAAATGACCAGACCTTACTGACCCTATCGGATTTGATATACAGGGGCGGTTTGTTAACCGGCCAGATTTTTGTCAACTGAACTGTTGACTAGAGGTTTATTGCTGATGACGATTTTCATTCAGTTTTAAGTA